GCACCGTCCCCAAGCACCGTCCCCAAGCACCGTCTCCAAGCATCGTCCCCATGCACCGTCGCCAAGCACCGTCCCCAAGCACCGTCTCCAAGCATCGTCCCCATGTACCGTCCCCATGTACCGTCCCCAAGCACCGTCCCCAAGCACCGTTCCCAAGCACCGTCCCCAAGCACCGTCCCTACGCACCGCCTCCAAGCAGTAAATCCAACTCCACTTCATCAATCCATATGTCTTGGACCTCCGATGAGTCGTCCGCCCCTTGGATTTTGTTTAAAGGCAACTTTTACTCCTCTCTAATCTTGAATCCTCTAGAGGTGTCCTAACCAGTAGCCTAATTGTAATTACCATCACGTATGGCGCATTTTTTTTAGCTGTCTCGTTGACAGCATCAGATTAACAGAGTTGTTTGATACGTGACACACACAGCTTCAGACAGTGTCCTTCAAAGTACTTCATGAAACTTTCTCAGCGTTTGACACAGCTCCAGACAGTCTCCTTCAAAGTACTTCATGAAACTTTCTCAGCGTTTGACACAGCTCCAGACAGTCTCCTTCAAAGTACTTCATGAAACTTTCTCAGCGTGTGACACAGCTCCAGACAGTCTCCTTCAAAGTACTTCAGGAAACTGTCTCAGCATGGCACACAGCTTCAGATTTCTCCTTCAAAGTACTTCAGGAAACTATCTCAGCGTGGGACACGGTCTTTGGCCTTCAAGACGTTCTAAAGAAAGTTTTAAAGTGAGTGGGATCATAACAAAGCAACCATAACCTTACCAGAATACGATTAGGAAAAAAAAATAGTCTGTTTTGTAATTGGTTCTACCAGGCTAATGTTATACTACATACTTTTACTTTAAAATATACATGTAAATTTTAAAGCTATTTTATTCAAGGGCTCTCTGAAAACATTACAACTTCCTGCTGACAAAGACATTCTTACATATTTTTCAGCGGAAGTTCCTTCGGTTTTAGGGCTGGTACAGGGATTTGGCTGGGGGACTTGCATGACCAACAGGACCTTTCTGCACGGTAACCTAAATCGAAGTATTGTTTACCTCATATTTAACTGTGTCCCTTCCCGTGGATTTGGG